GTGGGGGTGGGGGGCATCCTGTCTAAATGAATAAGCCGAGCGTAAAAGCAGGATCACGGTAGGAGGGAGTGTCACACTCTTTTCTCCTTTCTCTGAAGGCAACACTCATGTCACGGCTTGTTTGGTACTTTATTTGATTTATTTTTTTCGTAACAAGCTGGTGAACTTCTACTTTGTTTCAAACAGGTCTCTACAAAGCGCTTTTTTCTTCCATCGCTTGTCATGACACCATTTGGAATTTCCATCTTGTCAAAATACTGAGGTTACACTCCTAGAAGCTTAAAAAAAGGGCTTTGTTACAACACTAGTTTTTTTAAAAAAGTTAAGTTTCCAAAATTGAACACTGTGTGTTCTGTGATGCTGGTTGGTGGTTCAAAACCTTTCCCATTGAGACCAACGACAAATTATTTGGGATACTGTACTCAGTTCCAGAGTCCAAATTCTGATAAAATCATGTACTGTATTAGTTGTACAGGGAATGTTAATATAAGTAACAGTAACCTTATTAAAGGCCATCCAGGTGGAAGCAATTGTTTACCATCTATTATGAATCTGTTAAAAAAACATACAAATTCTAACCACTCTTCAGTGACGAGTGTAAGAGTAAGGTACGAAAGGTCACGTCACTGATTGTGTAAAATAAAATCAACCAGTCTAGTCACCGTATAGTGTGAGACACTAACATAGCAGTCTACATCTTGACTCGCCATTTCTTGTCAAATTGGACGAAGACATGGTCTCAAAAACATGACGGCAGTCGCATGCTATCAAGCCGATGGGAATTAAAAAAAAAAAAAAATACCGTACAAGAAGTAGAAACCTATCAAAATAAAACCAATAACAGCTCTAAATATGCTGCTTCTGCTTAGTCATCTAACATGGCTACTGGTGATCATCTGCACCTATCCTGACATGAAACACTCACAAACACTCGACAAAAGTACAGTACTTGGAAACTTTCTGTTAAAATCTGTAACTTCCGGTGCATATTATAGTTCTTCTCCGAGCTCCTTGTTTCTGAACACGTGTCACATAAAGCAGAAAAACACCTGAGAGTTAATCCTTTGATGGTGGCTGAGTTCCATTTTTTTGTCTTATTTGCTTAGGATGTCACTTAAACCATCATTTCAAGTCTCAGCTGTTATGCTGCTTTTCTACTTTCATAAGTAAACACGCGAGACATTAATATGAATTCAAATCTGAGTAATAGTGTACATTTCCGAGAAAAAGCCAGAAGCCTCTGCTTTTGCTTTTTCCATCCCGCTCCTCCTTGTCTAATTATACGTCTTTCTACCTTTTCTTTATAATGCTCTTTGTGTGTTGTTTGTTGCTCAGGAAACGACATACGAGGGGAAATTGAAGTATGTCAGGGCTATTATTTAGATACTCAGGCAAATTCTACAGGTGGGGATTTTCCCAGAAATTGCATGGGAATGGGCTGAATAGAGCCACCCTTGAACCAGACTAATTAGAACTTTGCTGTAAGTAGGAACATTTATATGGAAAAAAAATGAAAGGAAAGACAAAACAGAAGGATTCATTGTATAGCCCCAATAAAATATCTGGAGGATGGTGGCAGAAACACTGAAATGAAAATAAGGAAGTGCTGACAGTTCAGTTGTTTCCATGAAAATAAACCTTCCATCACATTATTTGGGAAAGAGTTAAGAGCACATCAGAGGATCTTGTGGTTTCCTTTGTTTTATTCTGAAGAATAAAGAAGAATGAATGAGACGTTACATGATTTTTTTAGACCACTGTCATCAGCAACATGACAGGATTGCAAAAAATGAAAATCTGTCAAAATGCAAAGGCCTCATTTGGAAAGGCCACATAAATCCGAGTAAAAGGCAGCAGGAATTTTGTAAATCAGATGAAGCCCTATGGAGACATTGAGCTTTTTTGTCAAAAATAACCTAACTTGGGTCAGAAATAAATGGACCGATCCACTGCTTGGGTCAATTTTACCCAAATTTCTGTTTTTTTTTTAGGTTGCTTTCTATAAAATAACCAGATTTTTGACAGTTGGGTAAAATTGAGGTACTGGATTGGTCCATTTTTAAAAAATCCGAATTGGGTTATTTTTTGACCCAATTATTTTTAGAGTGTAAGATACAGGTAATAGATTTTCAGTTTTCGGTTTTGGTCTTGTTTAGCTTTGGAGCATATTTTGCCGCCATTAAGGCAATGATTACTGACTTAGGAGTGACTCCGCAATGTGTTTACCTGCATTAGTAGCCAACCGAAGCTCGCTGGCTAGCTGGTGCAGCTACCTGCGTGTCGGTGTCGTACGCTCAGCCCAGCAAAGCTGCTTTTGGACAAAATATGTGACTCTCAGTTTTGCTCTTCATTTTCTTTGAGGCGCAAAATGAAAATTTCTGTGAGGAGAAACCGCTTATTTTGAGCCTTTGAGTATTGCGATATAAAATATTGTCATCTTATGGTATTGCTCCTCTTTGCCCGGTAGCCTTCAGTGATGTACAAAAAGTAGAGTTAATCTGTTGTAGTCATGTGATAGGCTAAAGCCTGCTGAGATAAGTTGAATGCTAGCATGTGAACAGTTGGTATGCCAGCATATTATAAGGTGGCAACCTAAGCATAGAAAGCAACACAGTAAATTGTTAAGGATTTTACTTTGTGTGCCCTGTGGTCAAATGCTATTTCAATAAGAATTTTTAACGTGCCTCTAGTTGGCATGCTGACAAAGCAGCAGTATCATGACACAAGAAATTTCCTTGAACAAAATGTATTGAACTTGATGGCATTTGAATTGAACGGTTCCTCTAGACACTGTGGATTTCTGTTATTGATCGTCGGCTCTTCTGAACCGATTCCCTCGCAGTCCTCCTCATTCGGGGGGGAAAGACCGAATG